CCCGAAGGCCGCGGCCGCAGGAGGCAGCGCGCCGGGAGAGGGGACGACTACGGGGAACGCGGCTCAGCGGAGCTCGGCCTTCGTGAAGGCCCCGCCAGCCTCAAGACTCGGGTGAAGATCTGCATCATCTCCTCTACTGCAAACAAGGCAGTGTTCAGCTGAGAAGCTTCTGATGCTTACGGAGACCCAAAGCTGTCAAGAGTTACTAATAACTTGACCCGAAGCTGTCAAGAATTACCAATAACTTGACCCAAAAGAACTTTGCAACAAGACAAGTGATACCTAAGCAAACAAGAGGACTTACTGCAAACAGCAGAGACTGATTAGGGAAAGGCTTTACCTGTGCCAGGAGTCCTGAAGTGTTAGAAAAAGATAGAAGCAGTTAAATAATTTAGGGGGTCTTCGTTTGTCTGAATCACTTTTAAGCAACTCAACTGTAGAAAATTTTCCCTTTACAAATAGCAATAATAATAAAAGGTACCACTACCCTGAACAGGCAGAAACAGGTAAACCTCTGTTCGATCTGACTTGCCAGCTAAGTTTGTTTAAGGACCATGTCCATTGCTCACCTCTTTCTCTAGGAAACCAGATTAAAATTTCCCCCAGGTAAGGGATGTTGTTTCATTGAAAATATAATTAAAGGCAACAGACCAACTGTCCCCCTTTGAAGTCAACCAAGTAACAGGAAGAAAAAATCTGATCCCTTAACTTCAAGACAGGCCATTTCTCTCAGATATGCTGAGCCCTGACTGCAGTTACGTAAGCCAGTACCTGTACTTACTCAAAACCAGAGAACTATTTCATAATAAAAAGAGAAAAGCAAACATTTTAGGTCCAAGTGATAACAGATGGAACCAGAGATTTAAAATGACTGAAATTCAGCCTTAGTAGAAAAGGACTTTAATTATATTAATACTACAATACTACTAAAACCTACTACATAGGTTCTTTTCCCATTTTCCTATGACTGGAAGCAGTCTGGAACATTGTTCAGGTTTTCTCAAAGAGGTAAAAAGACCATTTTATTTATCTGTCCAAGCTCATTCCTAACTAATCCAGTATGTAACGGTAAACAGTTTCATCATGTATTCATTCCTGTGCTCCTTGTTCTTATTTCATATTTGGGCTATTTTTCCCAAAAAGACACTGATTCTACTGTAGCACAACACAATATCAGTACCTGACAGTTCCCCACCAAGCAAAATATTGGGCAAAAAAAGGGCAGAAATAGAGGTTAACATCTACTTTCATCACAGAATACTGTACTGTAGTTCCCACTAAGAAACTGTAAACACCTAGATTTTAAAGCAGAACCAGTACAGAGACTTGGATTCACACTAGCAGAACACAACTTCCATACAGCACCGTTTTACACAAACGTGCCCAAAGATGAGCGAGGACCCCGTTCCCCAGCCCAGACCTCCTGGTGCTTTATCTCCAAAGGAGGACGTGGAAGGGGCCACTGCTCCGCTGGGATGGAGCTGAGGCAGCCCACGTGGTGAGAACCCCCAGGCTTTCCTGGGCTCGAGACTAGCAGAGAAGGGCTAAGAAACTTGCTTGTGAACTTATACCTAGAGAGACATGCCACACATATAGAAAATACCCGAGAAACAGGGAGAAGGCATCTCTGTGGGCTCTTAAATAAGAGATACAATAGTTTTCATGGCTAATAGCATTAATAAAAACAAAGAACAAGTTACACATTCCGAAAAATCACATCTACTGAGGGCAAAGTTTCCTGAAAGGCAGCACTTTTTTGCCACATTGACTCATTGATGCTGGAAGGTGGTGAGTAGGTACAGGGGCTTGCGAATGATAACTCTGAAGAAACATCACACTTAAAACTCCAACTGATTACAGAAAAGGTGTTTTATCAACTGCTCCCTTTATGAATAAATATGAAACTAGCAGGAAAATGTTTAAACAGGTGTAATCACAACTGCATATGAAAATTGAGTTTGGAGGCTGTAAGGAATCTTAATACAGTTAGGAAAGAATGAAAGCAATGTAAAACTGTGATCACAGCCGATTATGCATGTATCATGCAAAACAGGAATGTTGTCATAGCAGCTATAAAAATGTCAGTGAAAACTGAACTACTATTACCCAAGTTGTAAATGAAATGAAAAATGCAAAAGGAAAATGTGAATGAATACATTAAGGGAAAGCTATTGCTTCTCTGTTAGATAAGTGGGCGAAACAAAATACATTCTCATGAAACAGAGTAATTCGTATGAACAAATGTGCCTACATAACAGTTGCAGGAGGCCACATCTACATGGCGTGTCTGGACAAAATCTAGATTTGGGGTAGCAAATTTTCCAGGTCCTAGAAAGGAATGAACAGTAGAAGCGTAGTGTTGTTAAACCACTTTTAAAGTAAGCAACCAGTTAAGTCCTGAATCCTATCAACAGCCAATACTGTTCATACTAAGGTAAAGGCCTCCTCTAACTAAAGGTGGTAATTTGGCTTTCGGGGTAACCACTCTTAACAAGTGCAGCCTTTTGCGCCTTTTAATATACTGCACTCATTACTATATTATTTAAACATTTGCACCAGTTCTTGATGATAAAAATAATTATCACAAAAGCACAAATTTAGGGCTTAAAGCAAGACAAAATAACACAGGGACCTACGGACACGAGCAAATCCTGCTTTCCAAGATCCTGATGGGGCCAAAGGCTCCGCTGTGGCGGAGGGTCCCGCAGGTGGGCACGGATGGGCACCGCAGCCACCCCACACGCTGCTCATCCACAAGGGCAAGCACCCCTAGCCTCTTACCCCAAAACCAGCCTTTCACAGGAGCCCGTCACAGCGAAATGAAACTTGAGAGCATACTATTAATTAAAGCAAGTCCACAAAGAATTAGATATTTAAGCAAGCACAGGGCAAATATATGTAGGCTGTACCTTCATTTCTGCATTAAAAGAGCAATTACTTGGAATATGCTTTACAAACATCAAAGTTAAAAAAAATATTTTTGAGTTCGTAATGTGACCATAATTAATTCACACATTCAGCTGTTGAGTCCAGAAATATGTTCCTGTTGATAATTTGCATCTAATGCTTCAAAAACAATCTGGCACATTTCTATTTGCCTTAATGCCTGAAAGCTATTACCAAGACAGTGCTCTACAATGTCATCATCATTGCCACCACGTATACACTTAACTAACACCCGTGCTCAGGTCTGAAGGGTTTCCCTCAAGACTTGAGCGGTTTTGTCTCAGGACGCAATGTCGTGACAGGAGCTTAATGGAAGGGAACGTATTTACCAAACAGCACCCTTAAACTTTAAATCCATCAGAATTTGAAAGCTCCAAGGCTCAGCAGCGTCGCAGGGGACGGAGCTACCGTTTCATGCCTGACACTGAGCTCCTGGTCGCTGTGCAGCAGCTCAGCTCGGCCGCTCGCTGCAGGCCCCGTGCACCAGCCCAAGCAAAGCCCCCATGGGTGCCGTTGTGGGAACCCCATCAGGCCCAGGCCTCGCACCCCGGGCCCCTCATCCCACTCCGGGCAGGAGATGGGGACACAGCCACTGCAGCCGCTTCAAGCCCCCAGAAATACCTTTGTCCTTACGCATGTGGCCAACACCAGCGCTTTCGGGGTATCCCCACTACAGAGAGGGTGCTCCTCTGCTCGGAGTGACGGAGCAGAGCAAACCCCCAGGGAGCATTGAGGTGATGTCTTGGCTATTGACTTTGCGCCTACACAGGCAGGAGAAGAAAGTGCTGCTGGGAATCCTAGCATGTCAAAGCCACAAAAGAATTAATTTTACCTATAAACTAGATATGGAGACTGACTTCCTTTCCTGAGCAGGCTTCACACTCAAAAGGAGCTAAACTTCTCCTCCTGGAAATGCTTATCCTGCTCAAGCTGTTATCTTGGATTGCTCTCAGCTGTCCATGGGAGGTGCCTCTTCCTCCAGGCAGGGCCTCCATGGCTACCTTAGACGTGATAGTTTGGATGAGATGGATACGTCCCAGCTGAGAGGAGCCCACCCAATGCGGGTGAGCAGACATCACGTGGGACGAAGCTGTCTCTCACCCAACAGGTCTGCACAGCCCGAGGTCTCGGTGCTGCCCCGTAACACCAAAACGAAGCCTCACCTGGAGGTCATGGCAAAGCCTCAACCACCAGGCACCACATACTGAAACTAGGGATGTCAACTCTAGCATCATGTGTTGTTATTCCACACCATGCTACTTTGCGTATATACGTAAATAATCCTCATGTGTGAATTACTGTAAATTGAAGAAATTATTTCACTCTAAACAGACAAAGAATTCTCACCTCTAATCAAGCACAGCTTCATGTATGATATATTTAAAAATCACCAATTATCTCCTATATCTCAACTTAAGGTGAAAGAGTGATAAGGTTGCCTAAGAACTGCCTTCTTTGAGGCTTCTTAAACAAAAAAAAGGAAAAAATATGGGAAGAGAGCACTATGAAATCACTATGGTCCAATTAACAAGGATCTCACTCTTGAAGTTTGCAAACAAGAGATTACATTAACACCTGCTACAAAAGCAAACATTTTTAGATATCTTCATCTTAACCTACTTGACATTGACTTGAAACTCCTGCCTGGCTCCAGGATGAAAATTATTGTGATTGGCATGTATATTTTTCATGTGGTAGAGGGGGGAGAAGACGGTGTCAGTCTGTATTTCTCTCTCTGGTATTTATGCATAATTCACATCAAAGATAATAGGAGTTACACACATGCATTGACGGGAGAATAGTTTCCTAAATGTAAAATTGTTGAAGGGAAACCATTATGCTTATGGGAGATGAATGCACGCGAGCCCCCAAGCCACCCGAAGCGCGCGGCGGCGCCTGGCAAGGGTCTCTGCAATGTATGTCTGCGGTGGCAGCTGTAGGCAGCCCCTCTGCACACTGTGCATCAAAGCAAACTGACCTCTTGGGCCAGCACGTGCATTTATAACATCTGTACAGGCAGGAAAAACATTTCTTTGCGTTCATCAGAAAAGCAATCATCCAGCTGCAACAGAAATACAACCCACCAGATTACAGTAACTCTGTACTGGAGACTCTTGTGATAGGACTGTGGTAAGAACAGCTTTATAAAACACTTGAAAAGTTGATCTTTCTGAAGTCCAGAATTGTTGGAAAAGAAAAAAAAACCCACAGAAATAACTTTGTAAGCATTTTGTTTTGACAATGTTCCTCAGGAATTCTCTACATTTAGCTAGGAAAATGCTAGCAGTTAAATCTATTCAATGTCATGACATACAAAATTGAAACATAATTGCTCCTAAGTGGTTGACAACGGGCAAGTACTTTTTACATGGATAGAGAGAAATTTATGCTATCAAATGGAAGATACTGTCAAAAGTTTGATTTTAATATAAATGAAAATGCTACAAGAGGACTCAAAAGGATAAGGAAAAAAGCTCAGCAGTAACACTTTTATAACCACATATTTAAAAAGCTTTGAAGTGAAGAATCATTACATCAAAATCATTTTCCTTGAAAGATAAAAAAAAAAAATTACAGCATGAATATTAACAAGTTATTAGAATAGTGAATTTCAAAGAGTAGCAAAAAACAAGCAGCGCGTGAGTGGCCTAGTTTAAAGAATGTCTTACCAATCATATGGTTAGCGACATGGATTTGTATCTCTCTCTCATTCTCAAAGGTCATCTGGCACTTGATGCATTGATAGGTCTTTTTCTGTTTAATAACCAAAAAGAGATTAGAGAAAACTGCACTGTAGCATAAGGCAAGTGTGATCATGAATACAACATGTTACGTGCTTCAGCTTCCCTCAGCTGCCTCCTCTTCTCCCTGCATGTCCCCAACACGACACCAAGCCGGCCTCGCTTGCTGGGACCAGCAAATGCTCTCATTAATAGGCTGCTTTTAAAGGACTTTAATGTCAACTTTAAAAATTTCAAATGATAGTACCAAGCACTTGAAAATCTGATTGAGTGCTGCAGCCATGATCAAATTGCTCAGGACATTTAACCCACTGTAGTAAAAATTCCTGCACATTGAAATAATAAACACAGGTTAAAAAGGGAAAACTGATATTTTTTTTTTGAAAAAGATCACATTTTTTCCAAGAAATTCCATCCTTAAGTAAAAACTCACAATAACTATAGGCAAAACACCTGTAGTTACTGAGGACAGTGAAGTACAAAGGGAAAAATATATTTTGTGTCAGTCAGTCATCAAGAATTCTGGAAAAAATGTCACTATTGCAAGGAATGGCTTTCTTGCAAAGACTGTTGTATATTTTCCCTGTCACAAAGTCATACCAGGGAGGCTTAGCTGCAGAAATCAGAAGACAGTGTGAAGAGGCAATTACATGAACCATTTATTCAAATAAGGAAAATGGATTTTGGACTCAGATTGACAGGGGTGCATGTACTTGAGCAACATGACAGGAAAAACCCAAGAAATCATTTGTAGAAATTAAAATGCACATCGACAAGTCAGACATCCAAGTTATGAGAAAAATAAAAGACTAACACTAAACTTCTGTGCACTTACAAAAGCTCTCAATTCCCAAAGCAGGAGCCTGGTGCTATGGGTCTAATGTGCGTGCTCAATTACCGCACGGGAATATGCGATCTAAATAGACATCTTTTGACATGCAGTTTAGAAAAATTGGGCCATTTGTGCCTGCTCCTTCCCGTGGAGCAGCTCCTACAGGAGCCCTGGCGCCAGGCGAGCCCTCGTCCTGCTGCTCTGCACGGGGGCAGGAGCCTGCACGGCCGGCACGGGCAGCCGCGGGGCCAGCCCCAGGCCCAGGGAGCCGGGGCACGAGTGGGATCCCTGAGCAGCAGCCCTGGGAAATCTCATCCAGGAAATTACACCCTCCTAGTTGATTGAAGCCATGTATTTTGTGGAACTAATTTTTTGTGCATTTTTATGAACATTTTTTTTCATATAGCCTCCCCACCCCACACCCAGGCAGAGAATGACATTTTTAGGACAGCAGTAATAAGTCAGAAGTTCTGAGTTAAAGAGAGGAGTTGCTGCCTCTCCCTCCGTGCATGGGATCCAATTTCCTGGGACTCCTGCTGAGGTAAGAACAAATTAGGTGCTGCCAGGAGCTTCTTAACTACTTCCCATGTCATCAGTGGCAACAAGTTAGCCTGCTGGAGGCTAATGAACATGCTGTAATACCCTAATAACAAATGCAACAATCTATATGTTATGCATATTCCATGAGGGCTGTGCACGGTGCATCTGTGCACATTTGCAGGGCTTTCTAGGCTACAACAATGGGCGATTTCCAGGGTAAGAGGAATAAGGATATTCGCCACTGGCCAAAAACTGCCACAGCCAACCATAGACAAGGGAATAGTTTGGACTGGCTAGTGATCCCTAGGCGGCTCAACAAAGTGTCCTCCTGGAGTCCATTCAGAAATCACGGCTGTTAATGGAAAAGCAGCTGGATTTCTGACGCAGTGTTTCCTGGGAAGCTATTCCAGCAGCCGGCTGGAAGCGTGCACACACACACACACACACACACACGCACAAGTACCCTCGCACACATATAGTCATACACACATGCACACACATGTACACGTACCCTCACACACATGGCCGTGCACGTGCTGCAGCTTCTAGCTAAAAACCAAGGTTTCATGTGGTCCCATTTAACGCTTGAAACCTTCCTCTTCTCTGAAACTTCCCAGCTGCTCCAGCTCTGCCTGTTGTTCAGCACTGATCTCTGTCAGCAGGGCTCCTAAGCAGCTAGCTAGGGAGGACAGCACTGCAGCCCTATCTCAAACCTTTAAAGTTATATTAAACACAGAAAAAATATTCTTTTTTATTTAATTGATTTCGGTGCTTCTGAAAGCTGCTTAGTAGCAGATCTGGAGACAGGATTTGTTGATCCGCAGCCCGGCGCTAACTGCCCCTCAGCACCTCAGAGCTCCTGGCAGCCTGCGCGGTGTGAGCGCTGCCCGGCGTTCCCGCGGCATTCCCGCTTCCCGGCACTCCTATCCTTGGGCTCGGCCGGCACTCGCACGCAGCGCAGCGCAGCCCAGCCGGGCAGCGGCGCTGGGCAGCCCTGGCTCACGCACAACACAGCAGCATCGGCTTCGTCCAGGCCAATAAATAAACAGAACTCGACAGGCACCCAAACGTGTATAGAACAAGTGGGAGAGTTGGCTTTCTGGCTCATTGATAATTGTCTTTAAAAGCAGGTCACCAAATAGATTCCCATTCTCAATAATTTGGACACATTAGTTCAAAATGGTTATGTTAACTGTGGTATCAAAGATGAGCTTTCATTACCATTTTTGTGGGCTCCATGGCTTCAAAGACATTTGTAACACAGTCTGGTTACCTCTTTTTTAAAGTTTTGGTCTTTATGAGTGGTGACAATTGCACCAGACACTGAGGAGCTAATGCAGTAGAGAAAACAGCATCAAGGTGACAGAAGAGACCAGACGAGCAGACCTTCAATGGAGAGCTCAATTCCCATTAAGTCAAGATATTTAATTCCAATCTTGGCACAAAATAATAGTAATAACAACAGGGGGTTCTGGTTTCTTTGCTGAAATAACTGCTGTTCCCATGGGTTTTCCAGACTGTCCTCCTTTAAATCTGGAAATGGTTTCCTGTTCTACAAAGGAAATATTCCTCCATTCAAGTGAATTTACAAGGGAAGGGGGGAGGAGGAGAACAAAGAGAAGGAACTGAATCCAAGAAAGTGCAGAAGAAATGGAGCACAACGGGCTCATTCATCCAGCCGCCGGTGCCATCTCTTTTGCTTCTTTGCGTCCGAATAACCTAGGTGGTTAAATAAAGCAACACGGTTCAAGACAGAAGATTAACTGGAGCATTTGCCATTGTCAATGTTAACTCCAGTAGAAAGTGATATCTCCAGTAGAAAGTAATAAGGAATCTGTGTAAGAGAGAGAGCAGCCCGCGAAGTGACCGTTCCTGGTACTACAAGAGGCAACGTGTACTCCACAACTCAACAGCCAGCCACGTTTCTCAGGGCACAGGCATTTCTCTAGAAGACGTCAGAAGAAATTAGTAGAACGTATTAAAAAGGGAAGCTACTCCGCATAGGAAATATACATCCAAATATACCTATATATCTCCATATATCTGTACAGAAATACATACATCCCAAGTATTGCTTTGGATGTGACCATGCTTTGCTTGACCAAGCAATATCATGAGCTTATACCAATAGTTTCAAAGAAACTGAAGTTGTGACACAAAGTTCTTAAAAAAGAAACAAAAACGATCCCTTTCACTGATTTTGTTGCTGTGGCTCTTTCCTCTGGAACAGAACTACAATTGTTGTGTCAGAAATAAAAATAAGTCCTCATACTTACTAGTCTATTTACCTTCTCTGGACAGAAAAGGATAAATTCCAAGGCACTCATAGTTTTTACCTGGCTAGAAGAGCAACCCAGTGCAGTAAGGCACCCTACATGCCTTACTATGGTCATGCTTTGGAAACAGGCCTGTCCTATCACCTGATGTGCTATCACAATCACATGCAATCACATGGGTGATGCTCAGTACAAAAATATGATTAGTTTGTCTTAAAATCTTTTAACAATAAAGGAATCACTTTCTTCTCCTGCCATGTTTTTTTTCCTCTCAAACATTGTCATTTCTTATTCATTGATGGCTAATTCTTATTTTTTTTCTCTCTCTTTCTCTTTGGATCCAACTCTTTACTAAACTTTTCTTTTTGAAAATTCCTTTAGGCTTCCCTAGTCTCTCCTACAGTTCAAGAACTATCCCTGTTGGTGGAGTGATTTCTGGTAAAGTTAGGTATTTCTGTGTCAACTTTTCCATTGGCTAGCTTTTCACTCTGCTTTTTCTTACTTATTCCAGTGTATACACTCGCAGTTTTTAAAACCTAATGTCCCTATATTTTCTTTCTGAATCTTTTTCTAATCTTGAAATGCTTTTCTGTTTAAGAAGGAAAAATAAATAAAATATTTGAAAAGGAAATGCACAAGTGTTTGGGAATGGGAGAAAAGCAGTTCTTGTCTGGACATCTGCAGATCACTCCACATGCATTATGCACATAAGGTATCTGGAGCAAAACATTATTTCACTTGTGCACAGCATACTAACAAGATAAGAGAGATTGTGTTCAACTTGCTTAGTTTCATTACGAGGCCAATGAAGTCAAATAAATGTTATTCTTGAAGCACAAGAGTTTATCACCACTTAAAAGAGATAATTCTTTGAAAACCCCTGTGCTAGATAGACCCAAAGGGCATTTATTACCTTGAGAAACCAATGTTTCCAAGTGAACTGATACCAGAATTCAGGTCTTGTGCTGATAATGAAGAGCTAGATAATGAATTATTCCTTATAAAAATTTGCCTGTTCCTGGGATGCACACCATAAAGGTCTCACATACTAGCATACATGCCAGTCATAGACACTTGGTTGAAGGTGTCTATGCATAAAATCTGCATAGCCAAAAATGTAGATTTTTCATGATCTTCCAACAAAGGAACTAAGACCTGCCCTCACAGGATGAAATTCAAAGCATTTATCTTGTTGATGAACTTAAACCACTCCCTGGGACAACATGTATGGAAGCTCTCACTTAGAAAAGCAACTTAAAGCAAGAAATTAGAGTGGAAAATGGTTGTGTATGCTGCTTCTGATGGTCAATAGGGAAGAAAAGATACAATTTCAGGCTCTAGGCATGGTCCATACAAAGAGAGGATGGGATCTGCCTGAGAGAACTGTTTAAAATAATTCAGAAGGAAATAAAGACCCAAGAAGTAGAAAGGTGAATGACCTTGCCTGAACTCTCCAAAGATATCACCTGGAAGTGGGGAGAGATTTCCAGGCCTTACTCCTCTGCAGAATTAAATGGACACAACAGCAATTCTGGTCATGCAGTTACTGGACCTAGAGGGAACAACATCCAGTTGTTCTACTGAAAAAGCAAAAGAAATGAAAGGAAATTTGTGGCGGGATTCGCTCAGGAGCCCGGACGGAGGCGCAGAGCCCGGCGGCAGCTCCAGGGCTGGCGCTGCCACCCGCGCAGCCGGGACACACTCAGGCTCTGCTCTCGCCTACCATGCCACGGACCTCGCACTCGAACTGCACTTTCAAGTTCTTTTAATGCAGCAAGGATGTGTTTGTGGGTGCTTTAATTAGCAGATTGACATAAACAGGCATCCATGGTTGGAATTATTCATTAGGAGTTGGGTGCCTGATTTCCTTAGATACTTTTGAAAATCTCACCCCATCATGTTTAATTAAAAATGTCAGATGATATCAATACTCAGATGTGTCTGCTGTTGGTCTCCCGAGAAGGTTTCCAAAATCTACTTCTCATTCCATCTGTTCCTGACAGAGCAAGAACTGACTTGGCCCATTCTTGAACCAAAACATCAACAAATAATTTTAAAAGACTATAAACTGGAAGCAATATTAATCTCCTGGGCAGCCTTCTGAAACCTTTCTTGGATACTGCATGTTCCCAAGAATCTTGTAAGCTAGGAAATGGGAAAGCTGCTATCTGTGAGCTTAAAAGAAGAAGACACTTTGCTTTCTAATATGCAGTCTGCACACTAAAAAACAACATGCACACGTACATACACACAGCGTACATGTGCACACAACCATCCAAGCAGTCTCACACTGTTCATGATAACATTGACAAAAACAACCTTTTTAGAGGGAAAAAGAATGTTTCAGGTGAGGCAACCGCCTAACAGTTTTTCTCAACAACTCCTTTCTGCTCATGATTAGTTCCTAGTTAAGAAATTATCTCATGCTTTGGGTGTGAGAAATTACTTCGAATTTTTTCTTTTGGGTACTGAGAATCTCTTTTTTTTTTTTTTTTTTTAATAGAAATGCTCCAGCTCTTCCATGATCTGCCAATTCAATAGCACCAGAATCCTGGACAAACTGAGTCGCACCATCCAAGTGCACGGATGTACATGGAGGTATCTCAGCTCTCTGCTGACAAATTTAGAGCAGACGCTCTGCCACTGGAAATCAAGGAGACTGCAAGATTGAGCAACATGTGACATTTCTATGTGCATTGCTACCCCTTTCTTTCCTTTTTTTTTTTTAAACAACACAAGTAATTTTATAAAGTGACAGTCATGTACACACACATATACAAAAAAAAAGGAGCGAGAGAAGAGGGAAAAGAAAAACCAAGAAGCCCCAAATACCAGATGTGCTCTCAGTCGTGCTATCATGCTAAAGGTCTACGTTTCATTCCTCAGATATTTTAAATGCAGTGGTACTTACTCTGGGAACGGGGGATGTCTGGGTAGCTTTCCTCTGGCCGCTGGTCTCAGGCGTCAGGTCTCGGTGGTCTACCTGAATGTGGCTCTCCAGGTCTTCGGCACTTTCAAATTTGACACTACACTCGGGACACCTCAGGCTGCCACAGGGCCTCTCGTTCACCTCCTGTGGGGTCAAGCCCGAAGACTGTCCGTTGGTGCTCCTGGTCATGCATCCAGCACACAGGCCATAGGGAAGGCCGTTAACATCCAGCTTGACCAAGTCCTGCTTATTCCGGAACTCCTTCAAGCACAGCGCACACTTGTAGAGTTTTTGCAAGGCTTGGCCGTTGGGCGACGAGGTTGCAGAGTTCCCTGCCAGTTTCTGCATATGGAACGTGCCGTGGATTTTCAGCTCTAGGGTAGAGGTGACGGTCTGCATGCAGACAACACAGCGGAAGCCAGTGAGGGAGTTTCTGAGATCTGGGTGCATCTGGCAGTGCTCGATGAATTCCTCCTCGCTCTGCAGCGGCATTTTGCAAATCCGACACGTCCCTGTATCCAAGCTCTTGCTGTGAGTGACCTTGTGCTCCGTCAGGGTGAGGAGCGATGGGAAGCGCTCCCCACAGATAGGGCACATGTAGTGCTTGGCCGGACCCCGATGGGTCTGCATGTGCTCTCTCAGGCCGTTTTCTGAGAAAAAGGTCCTTGAGCAGATATTACACTTATGGCTGCCTTTGATGAACTCCGCTTTCTTCCTCGAACAGTCGTCCTCCCCAGGCCGGATGTTATGATCCCTCAAACGATGGTTCTGCAAGAGGACCTCCATAGTATAGGCAGCCCCACAGATGTCACAGCCGTACATGGGCTCAGAAGCATCTACGTCATCCTCACTGGCTTCGTGACTGTTGGAAGTATCTGGATTCTTCATTAACATGTTCTGGATATCGGCACCTTCTGTCTTCTTACTTGTGGGGGTCATGCCATTAGCTGTACCGTTTTCAGCATTTGCATCAAAAACACAATGTTTCTCCCGCAGGTGTTTTTCAAGCAAGATGATGGCATGAAAAGCTTTGCTACAAAACTTGCAGTTGTACTTTTTGCTGTGGGTTGTGATGTGGCATTGCAGTTCAACCTCTGTGCTAAAGGTCTCGCCACAGAAGATGCACTTGTGAGACTTGGACGGATTCCCCAAGTGACTGTGCTTCACGTGGATCTGGAGATCCACCTCCTTCCTAAAATCCCAGTTGCAGGCTGTGCAACGATACATCTTCTTTTCATTGCTGTGCTTGACTGCCAGATGCACTTGGATAGATACCTTGGAATCAAAAACTTCTTGGCAAAGGGTGCAGTGATACAACACAAAAGTATGCATGTCCAGCAAATGCTTCTGCAAATCATCCACCGAAGAAAACTGCTTGTCGCAGCTCTCGCACACGTAGTGGGTTGAAGTTGTCATGTAATGCACGGTGAGGTGCTGCAGAAGAGACTCCTGGGAATCAAAGTCTTCTTTACACTGAGGGCAAGACTGTTTCCTCAACAGCAGCTCCAAATGCAACTTTAAATGGGTTTGAAAACTCTCAAAATTGGAGAACTTTAGATCACACTGATTACATGGGTATTCACCATTAGACACTGAGTTTACGCTAGCAGAAAGCCGCTGCCTTTTAGGGGAAGAGACTTCAACATCAGAAGAAACTGGACTCTGCTCTGCTTTTGACTTCTTATTATGTGCCAGAGGAATGTTCTTGTGGTTTTCTTTAATATGCTTTGTAAGCTTCAGGATGGAGCCAAAAATGGGGGAGTTTGTGCAATAAGGGCATGAATAAACTTCCATAAAAGACTGTGTTGGCTGAATGACAGGGGAATCCAATTTTGAATTTCCTACGTTGCAGTGAGTCTGCTGAATATGCTCAGTCAAGGTTGCTTCTGTCAGAAAGCCCATGGAGCACTGGTTACAGAAGAAGGCATTGTTACCATCTTGAGGGGTAGCATTTGGGCCACAGTGAGTGATACGGATGTGCTCCTGCAAGCTATTGATATCTGCAAACATCTCAGGACAGTAGTTACAGTGAAAGGCAGAAATGTTGCTAAACTGCATCATGGGATAGGCATGGTTTTTGTGCACCTTTCTTACGTGTTCGTTCAAGTTGTACAGCGTAGGCATGGAATCAAGGCAGATCTGGCACGTGTGGCTTTGCTGAGGTTTGTCCGCGTGAATAGTCTTCAGGTGGATCTCCAGAACAGCAAGGCTGTTGAAGTCGCGCTTGGAACAGTAAGGGCAGCTGTAAGTAACTTTTGACCAGTTCTGGCCCTCCTCTCTGTCCCCTGATCTGATTTTCTTTTGTCCTCTCAGAGGTTTTAGGGTTGAATCTGGGGTGGAACCTCTTTCCACCGAGGCGCTCGAGTCAGGCGTTGCACTGCTCATGGAGGCCACGCTCCCCAGCACCGGATCGGGACTGATGCTGTGATTGCTGGAGTCAGGTTGTCTGTGGCTGTCCAAGTGGCAATAGACTTCCTCCACTGAAGAAAACTGCTCTGGGCACATAGGGCACTTGTGTTTTTTGTTGGCATGGGCTTGATGAATGTGTGAGAGCAGTGAGTTTTCATCCGCAAATACTTCAGGGCAATGAATACACTGCAGATCTGCCTTCTCGGAAAGCTGTGGGTGGCGTGTCATTACGTGCTTCTCCAATTCCTCAGTCTGACTGAATGTCTCTTCACAGTAATCACACATAAAATCATCCTTCTTCACCTCTTTCTCAGTCTTTGCCATATGTTCCTTGTTCTTTTTATGAGCTTGCATGTGACTCTGCAAGGAGCTGGTAGATGAAAACCCACGCTTACACACAGTGCACTTGAAGGGCTTGCTGGAACTGTGGGTTTTCAGGTGAATTTTGAGGTGGTCGCTGCGCGAGAAGGCGGCCTCGCACTCGTGGCAATGGTACTTCTTATCCCCCGTGTGCAGCTTTATGTGGCGATCCCTACTGCGCTTATGCTTGAAAAGCCGGCTGCAGTAGGTGCATTTGAAAGGTAGTTTGTCGCTGTGGATCTGCTCGTGCCGTTTAAGGTAGCTCAGGCGAATGAAGGACTTATCACAAAACTGGCAGGGATAGGGCAGGCCAGTCCCCCCTTCCTCCTCCCCGATGCCGAGATCACACCCATCTCCTATCATCTGAGTGGGTGATGCAACATCTTTGCTGGAGGGAGATGAAGCCACCCAGGAGAGTTGTGGGTCGTCATCACCATCTGTAATGGGAAAGCAGAAAGGAGATTAAAAACAATTCCCAGTGCATCTGTGAAATAAGGACAAAGCTCTCAACAACACTGTGGGCTTCTGCTACTACAGTGCAAAAAATATCAACTCCTCCCCACGCAAAGAAGAAAGTAGCATCTCGAATTTCAAAGGGTGTTTAGAAAGAGATATAAAATATATCTGTAAACAGAATATGCCAACATACAGTATTAATAAAAGGCATTCTTCTTTGGCAGGTTTAACACCTGCTCACTGTACTGTAAAGCCATAAACAATGAATACAGAAAGCAAAACACTGTGAGGCATGAAGCAATGTAAACATTTGAAAAGCTAGAGGATGAAGTGATCACATGCGATTTTGTGGGTCTTTTTAAATGCTACATCAAGATGATTTTAAGTACTGTCTCCATTAAACAAAATCCTTCAGTTCTGTCTCAAAACTGTAGCAGAATTAAAGGCTGATCAAAAGCAGACAGACTCAAACATCTATGCAAAATAAAAGCATCCGATTTGAGACAGCTCAACAAAATCAGAGATCTGCATCATCACCGCCTTCACCCGCGTGAAAGGTAACGCGGCCTGTTTGGTACAAAAAAACCCAAAACCCAGGAAATCACCAGTGTGGGAGATTTCAATAACTCACCAAAGAATAAACTTCAGGACAAAACTGCAACAGCTTTAATGACCATTTCCTTTGCTCACTGCGAAGCTTTGGAAAATATTTTATAATTTGATATTACCATAAAGAAACACAGCGTCATCTCCTACTGCAAAACAGTCATTTTAGGAAAAAAACATAAAATTTTGGCAGCTTCCATAGATGGAATTGCTAACCAGAAACAGAAGAGAGCGAGTTCAAATATACCAGTCCCAATGAAAGAGGTGACCCGGAGGGAAGCAGAAGCGCCACGAGTCCGATAGAAAATTGAACCAGAGACTGAGGCGAAGGCGAAACTCATGGAGATGAGGGAAGGCGCCGACCCCACACGCACATTTGGAAATCCAGAAATACATTGGGAAATCCGGAAAGAAGACAATTCTCCAGATACGCTGCCCTTATAAATGGTTCAATGCTCCCCCTGCAGCCGGAGGAGCCACGTCCTGCGTTGCCACGTGCTCGGCCCGGCCCTTTCCTGCTCATCCCGCCGGTTGGGCCTCGGCCTTGAGGCGCAGGGAGCAGCGCCCCGATCCCGAGGCTTGGCGGACTGAGCTTCCCAGCACGACGCGGCCCTTGTGCTGGGCGCAGCCGCCTCCGGATTAGCCGGCGGGGAGGTGCCGGCGGCTCCCGGGTGGCTGATTCCCGCCGCGCGGCAGCTGGGCTCCCGCGGGATGCACACAAAGGCCGAGAGGGGGATGCGGGGCTTGGCGCAGGGCCGCGCATGCCGGAGCCGCCGCTTTCCTGCGGGAAGAGGCCACAGGCCCCGCAGAGCGCCCGCCACCGAGGCGGCATTTCCTGCTCTGGCTGCAATTCCAACAGCGGCGGTGGCAACGCTGCAGTAAGTGCTGCAGGAGCACCCGCTGTGCAAACAAACAGCCTCCCTCTTGCACACGGGGCTGCCTGCGCCTCGCTGCGCTGCGGCACAGGGCAGCGACCGCACCGGCGGCTGCCAAGGGCTCCTCCGCCCGGCCCTGTCCCTCTCCTCCCTTCTCCTGTCCCGCTTGTCCCTTGTCCTGCGCCGTGAGCCGGGCCTGGCGGAGCTGCTGCTCCCCCAACGCCGGCTATCCCCCGGCCATGGGCAGGCACCGGGTCAGCGACCCGCTGGACAGCAGGGCCTGCAACACAAGCAAAGCTCTCCCACACGTGCTTCAAAGCTGAGGCTGTCCCCTCCTGCTAGCCTGACCTTCCACCATGAGCTCCCACTCTTTCACCACTGAAAAAGAACTGGGAAGCTCTTGCGTAAGCGCTGGAAACCATCTACCTGACTTCCCTACAAACAAGCCCAGAAATTACTCACGGCCTAAAACTGAAGAAATTAAGAAAAAGTCATTATCATTAATCTCTTTATGGAATGAAAAATAGCCCTGTTAATTTTAACTTCCCATTTTAATTTGAGGAAAATACCCATAATGAACTGAGAAGAAAATTCAAAGGTGTTTTACCAGAGTAATATTTTACTGGGAAGATATATTTGAGATGTGGTGTGACATGTCTGGCAATGATGGTTAGAATAATAATTCAACATTAATGCAATCAAAGGAATGTAGTAGAATGAGAAAAATCACTTTAAAAAGGAGATTAAAGTCATTAAAAATGGCTAATCCTGCAGAGTGGGACTTTACTAAAATAGAGAATCACATGGCTGGTGCAAAGCTTTTGTCATCTGCGCATATGAGAATCAAAACAAGTATTAAAAGGGTAAGAAAATTCAATAAAAAGTTTAATTAGGAAAAAAAAGCATTAAGGAGGCTTCAGAATGGCAGCAGTGTGCAGGATATACGTGCGGGTCACCAGGCTTAAAGGGCCAAACTTGATAATCAATTTCCAAGCAATACAGTAATTTAGCAACTTAATGTTGAGCACGTTTAGGGGACGGCGAGCATTCATCACCATCACCAAGGACCTCATTCCAGCCTCAACGCGTTCAATAAATGTATTTTTCCTTCTAATGTGAGCAATTTGGCCAAACTGCAGAATAAATCATACTTTGTTCTCCGTTTGTCTTGCAGATAACATGAGCCGAGCCCAGAAATGCCCTCCCAGAGCAGTAACAACGCACGGAAGGCTTGGGCTGTGGCTCCGATGGGAAGGGAGCAACCCCGCGCCGAGGCCGCTGGCTCGGTTCTTGTTTGCAAGGTGTTTTGCTAACAGAGAGAACTGCACTGCACTGCTCCCCTTCCCTCCCAGGAGAGTTTCTTCATGCAGGGTGAGGAGCCAGGGCCGTTAGGCTTGGGAGATATCTGATTCTGTTGGGTTTATTCCTCTGGCACAGGGCTTGAACACAAGGGGAAGGGTCCAAATAACAAAACAAAACAACAAAAGAAAGGCCCCCAAATCAGCTGTTGGGGAAAGTTAGTTTTTGACTGAAACCAGGGGAGTTTGGAAGTGCTTCACCATGTACTGAACACTGGCAGCTCCTCAGCTACCGCAGCCACGCACGCTGCCCAGCCACAGCCGAGTTGGGCAAGGCCAGCTGACCCACCAAGGATTCACTATGTTCAGCAGGTTTTGACAGCTTTTTATTTTTCCTATACGTTTAGTTTCATTTTCCTGCACATTTCAAGTATAACAAAGTAAGCAGTCAAAAAGAAAAGAGCGCCCCAAACACAATTTTACGCCCCGCCATTCCCTGCACCAAAGGCTCTCGCCCTCCACGTGGCAGGAGGTGATGGTGACGGGGCCGTCGCAGCAGCCGCCACCGTCCCGGCATGAACGCGCGCTCCAGCAACAGCAGCCAACAACCCCACCACAGATCTGTAAGAGTAGCCTACGTTGTGTCCAAACGAAACTAAACCTATAAACTAAAGCTAAAAGTGAAGAGGTGCTACTGCAAACGGCACCACGCACGGTGCCGTCCTGATTATCAGCGACTCAGGGAAACGCAGTTACACCGAATCACACTCTTGTGTGCTAAGCCCTTTTGTTGCACCAAATTACCAATGTTTAGTTGCTCCTTTTCCAATTCATCAGCTTTGCATTCATTTTTAAGTGAGGGTTTTAAAAAGAAAGGGAAAAGAAAGAAGATGTCTAGCTTAGTGGAAAAATATATATAATCTAATTTTCCTTGCACAGAGTGACTTGGTATTTGGAATACAAAATCAGCACAAGAGGTAGTGCAGAAGTGCAAACTTTAGATTTGCTAGGACCTCGGCTGTAGTTAAACTACTGCACAGAGGCAGTTTAAACCTAGCTGTGTCTGTCTAAACCCTTCTGCTGTGATCAGGGAACATTTAATTACCCTGCCTTTTTTTTACACTGCAGTTAAGAGTACTCACAAAGACATATACTGAAGCTCAGCTGATATTCAGAAACCTTTTAAGCCACAAGAACACGTGCCCAAGCCCTCAATTTCGAGCAAAGCTACCAAGACTCAGTAATGGCCATGGGTAGGATGATAGATAATCCTACAGAGATCACAAAAGCCAAAAGCTATTTTTAACATTATGTTCCTCAAATCAAACAGTCTGCATTTTACAGGTAACAAAAAATTAACATATCATTAAATAAGTTATTTTGCACTTCACTAAATGGTGTAATAAGGGGCAGAGGAGAAAGTTTTATGTTAGATCTAGGAATAAGCTAAATGCTTTCGGAGTTGAATCACTGTTTTTCTTTACTCCCTTTGGAAACGCAGCAGATACTATATTCTGCTGTGCATCATGGACTTGGGACTGAAAACAGCTGCACTCTAATTACATGTAAAGTGTACCAAAACATTCCTTTTATCACAGACTGTAAATCTGTTAGCATCTGTCTCTCCTTTGTTTCTTCCACAAGATACAAGCTTGTTTCTACATTTTTCTCACCTGTAGCGGTGATTAAAATTCATTATAAATGAAAGGAGTGAACACTAAAACAAGTTCCTCTGTGTACAGTTCTAAACTCAAATTAGAAACAGCTGTTTGCTAATTCATGCAGTGATGTTTTGTCGTGCTCTGTGAATCAATAATAACTCACCCTATTTCCACAGAAACGTTAGGATTATCCATACCCGCTGCCTAGCAAATTGTCCTCCAGAAATGTTCAAATGCAGAGTCAGTCTTTTTTAAGCAAGATTAGAGGATGATAATGGCAATATCATCGATGAATTAGCAGAAAGATATTAACAGCTTGCTGCTCCTGCCTGCTTTGTGCACAGGTCCTGTGCTATTCCCACCTTGCCAGATTCCTCCGGAGCGCCGAGCAAGGACACACATTGGCAGAGCAATGTGGACGAGCATGGGTTGGCCGCGCAGATATAATAATAACCACACGGAGAGAGATCTAAAAGAAGCCGAATTTCAGCTACGACAGGCACAACTTTTAAATACAAAGAAAGGCAAAGCCCTTAGGAGA